AAAAGAGAAAAAAATATTATTTTATTTATTTCCTTCATAGGTTTTTTATTTGCTCATATGGTCTTACATGTTTTTGTTGAGATTATTCCTAGGAATTTCACATTTTACAACTTCAGTGTATTTTCTGTTCTTTTTAATGTTTATTACTGATAAAGATATTGATGTATAATATCTCTTTGAAAACAGCTGCTTTACCAAATGTTCTGAGCTGCAGTATTTTTCCCATTGATTTGCTTTGCTTTGCTTGGGAAATATTAATGGATATTAATACCACCTTCAAACAGCTTTTGTAGATACTAAAAGCTTGCAGTCAAATATGCTCTCTCAGTTTACAAAGAAGTAAGTTGTTCCTTGTCTTTTCATTTCTTTCTAGTACTCTTAATGAAGTATTTAAAAAGTGGATATATTAGTTACTTCTGTTCTCTCTCAGATACTTATGGGTGGGAACTCAATACAAAACAACTTTTGCATCACTTTTTAGCATGCATTTTTTTAAGTTTTCTAATTTTCTCTCTGCCCCTGCCTATGCACGACTTAATAAAGTGCATATAAAGTACATTAATATCTTTTATTCATAATAACTTAAGTGAGAAAGAACTTTTTAAGAATTCTCTTTTTCTCATGCAAAGGAATGATCTAATTACACACTGAACTTACAATACTAAGTTCAGATAATTTAATTAAGATGTCAAATAAATTATAGTATTATAAAGTGTTTTATTTTAAAACTACAGTTTTTCATTACTTGGTTTAATATTTAGGATTTTTCCAGTGCTTATTAGAAGACTTTATTATTCTATTATAAGCATCATGAGAATACAATTTATACTATTAAAATACTACTATATTTATGATTCATTACAGAATTTCCTGCTACTAAGCTACAGTATTGTAAGATTACAGTAAAACATGCAAACAGACTCACACAACTTACTTATTGATGACTCTGAAACTCTTAACCCACTTTCTCTCTCCAAATTTTTCCTATTCTACCTCTAACTAACCAGACTTGGTAATTAAGAGGGAGAGAAATTATATAAAAATAAATATTTTTTTCAGAGAAATCTGTTTTACCTACCTTGTCTTTTCATCAATACTCTTTCTGTATCCTCAGGCTTCTTATTTTCTTACAAGAATTGCATCCTGTCCTCAAAGGCAACAGCAACAACCTAGGAATGTTTTTAGGAAAAACAGGAACTTTATTAGCTCAATCAGTCAAACAACTGAAGACAACTGGCTCCTCCCCACCAACCATTTCCAATCAACCCATACAAGCACACCCACTTTCAATCTAGGTCCCATTTTATTAAAGAACCACCTAACGCAGTAAGCAATTTGCCAATACAACGATCTATGTCAATGTGTTGAGGTATCAACTAGTAAGAACACCCCTGACTGCACTGAGGTTTTGTCTAAAACTCATAGGGATTACCAGTTTAAAAAAATATAATATTAACCAAATCAATTACTCATTTCCTCCTCTATGACAACAAATAAATGACTTGACCTTTGCTTTACTAAATTAACTCAATCTCTGTCTCCAGGACATTGAAACATCAACTCATCGAAAAAAAGAAAAAATCAAACTGGTTGCAGTCAAAATTTCATATTGAAGTTTGGGGCTAAAATAATTAAATGGACAATATACTCTGTACTCTTTGTTTTATCTTCTTGTCATTGTCTCACTAACAATTTGCATTCCGTTATTTAGGGTACAAGTTAAGAGCTTTGAAAACATCAAATATTCATCAGCTGGGTCACATCTGAGTCACACCTTCAAAAAAGGTCAAAATACACATCAAAAGAATTTTGCTCTGTGGAGGGAAAGAGGAGAGGGAGGTGGAGAGGTAAAGGGAACTTTCTGGTGTCTCTTCTGACACACACACTAACCTCATTGGACTAAGGCCTGTCCCTTTGGACCTCATTTAAACTTAAGTACATCCTTAGAGGTCTCATCCTCAAACACAGCCACAGTAGGAGTTAGGGCTTCAACATACCAATTTTGAGGGAGTTAGGGCTTCAACATACCAATTTACCAACATACATTCAGTCCATAACATTCCCTAAGGTCGCACAGTTAATAAGTTGTAGACCCATGACTGAGAAACCACGAGACTCTAGCACCTGAGCTCTTACCCGTATTACCTAACTTACATTGAGTTCCTTACAACAAGCTTTCACTGCACATTAACTAGATTAAAATTAATCATAGGTATTTTCCCCCACAAGAAATATCTATGTATCTACATCTATATCTCTATACCTACATCTGTATTTTATATTGAAGGGAGGAGACTAGAAAAGAAGGCAGACCCTATACTGCGCCCACCTCAGCTGCAGCTTCTTGTTCCACAGGGTTAAGGAAGAAAATGAGGAAATAAAAGTTGTTTGGAATAATCCAGGCGTGGTTGCTTCATCTGTTTCCAGCACAATGGCTGAGGTCAGGTGTGAAACCCCCTCACGCCCGCAGGCAGCCTCATACCCGAGTAAGCTTCAGACTGTGTCCTGGAACCATGGAGCGGAGAAAGCACCCTTTCATCCCTGTTCTTCGGGTTGTTGGCGACCTCTCAGAGACGGAATAACAAGCCGTCAGAGCCACACGCCCAGAGTGTCGGAGAAGATACCGAGCTGCTCGCCAGGAACGGTCCTGACGCGCTGGGCTCCACTCTGACACAGGTCTGGAAGGACTGGAGGTGGGAGACCGGATCCAGAGGTTTGCAGTGCCAGCTGGGTACCAGGCACTTCCGGCCTCCAGGGCCGCTCGGCGGTGAACAGCCTCTCTAGCCCTGCAGTCTCGCCTGCTCTCGGCACCGCGCAGCCTCCAGGATGGAAAGTCAGGAGTACTAGTGTGACCGCATCTTGCTCTCGTCTTCGCTTTCCAGTTTTATTATCTCGGGGAAGAGAATGTTCTATTACAAGTTACATTGCCTAACTTGAAAACCATCCTACAATTTTCTTCCATAAATTCGTAAGTATTCTACAGGCGTCACACTAAACCCTCTTTGCTCCGTATCACTGGGTTTGTGCCATAGATAACGCCAAACTAGAGGTTTCATTTTTCAACGTGGTAAATAAACACTGTATCATAGTTTCTCAAGTTGATTGAAATCATTATCTTTGGCAAGTACACAATTGCCTTTATTTCTATCCATTCTCTCAGTCTTGAAAACTTACCTATTTCTACAATTAACACATGTGTGGAAAGCATTTAACAACACATTTTATTTCAGTACCATTACTGAAAAACCCTAACATTCAGTGACTACTATTGTTGCTTAAGTCAAATTGCCCTTCATGCTCTATAAATGTTATGGCTATCTTAATTTCCTTTGGTGATTTTGAGACATGTTCTCTAATATAATTGGCATTGACATTAATTCCACAAATAGAACTATCTCATGTAAAGCAGGTGAAATCCTAACATAATTTTGAGACCATTTTATTAGATCCTGTAAAACAAGCATATGGTTCTACAGAAAGCAGTAGGTTGGATTTCAGCAAGAATTTAGAGTAAATATGACATTTCCTGATGGATGTATTTTAAAATTTAAGTTATAGAAGTTATAAAGTGTCCTTTTTATAGGAATGTTTAAAACTTCCCTTTTCGTTAGTATATAGTTGTGGGCGCACCCAGCTGACATCCTTCAAAGTCCAATGACCCCCCTTTCTGGGCTGTCAGATGTCTGTCTGTGATCCCTCAACAGATAAAGTACATTCTTTACTGGATGTGTTTCCCCTAACAAACTAATAGCCGTAGGTAATGCCTAATCTCACAATAGCTCAGGCTGGTTTGTTTCAGCTCACCTTATCAGAGTCTTAAACCCCACTGCCCTTCACAGACCCTAAATTTCTTACCATACATACAACCAATCAGAGACTTGTGCACAAGCTGATCAGGCACCTTGTGACCCGACCTTATGAAATATCCCAACAACCAGCCCTCAGGGCTTACACAGGCACCTCTTGTCCGTGTGGCCCATGGTTGTCTATGGCAGCATACTCTAATAAGCCCCTTTTTTATTGTCATACTTTATAACTGGTAAATACTTTTACCAACCCAAGTGTTGCTGGCTCACCGACCAACCACCCGGTTGTGTTCCCCAACAACAGTCGTCTACATGCAGTGAACTGTGGACAGTATTTACAGAAATGTACCCCCAAAGCAGGCTAGCCTTCAGCCAATGCACGATCCCACCACTATTTGTACTTAGAGTAAACATATTTTGGTCTTTTTCCTCAGTTCCTAACACAGACTTTCTAAAATCCTTGGAATTTCCTGAGTGATGGAGTAAAGGGAACATCTTTTGTTATTCATAACAAGCCCCTTTCAACTATACCTCAGTGTATGGTAATGAAGTGACTCTTGGGAGGTGGTGGTTGAGGCTAGATAGCTTCTGGATGGGGGGTGGTTGCCAGAGGAACCAATCATGTGATTAGAGGATTGGAATTTACAGCCCTACCCTCAGATCTCTGGGAAAGGGGCTGGAGATTGGGTTTAATCACCAATGGCCAATGGTTTAATCAATCATTGCTATGTAATGGAAGCACTGTAAAAAACTCCTAAATGATAGCATTCAGAGAACCACCAAGTCAGTGAACACATCTAGAGATTGGGAGGGTGTTGTGTCTAGAGACAGCACGGAAGCTTTAACTTCCTTAGGGGACGCCCCTCCTCCCCATGGGAACCTTCCCCTATAACTTGCCCAATGCATCTCTACCATTTGGCTGTGAAACCAAGTCCCCCTAAAACCGAGTTCCCCTGATGAGTTTAGGATTAACCTTTCTATCCAAAATTTTATTCCCTTTTTTGTCCCACCTCTGTTTCCCTCAGGATTAAGGAATATCAAAAAAAGGAGAGATTGAAACCAACCAGGACACTGCAGGGCCCTCCCAGTTACAAAAGCCCCTCCATATCCCCTGTTTCTTGTTGGTAGAAAAAGGCTTCAGTCTTCTAGGCCTTCCCTGAGCTCCAAAGAGCAGACTCAAGAAGTCATTAATTAGAGAAGCGAGGGAAAACTGAAACAAAAGAAAAGCAGTCAAGCAAGAAAAGCTTAAACAACATTAATTAGAGAAGCGAGGGAAAACTGAAACAAAAGAAAAGCAGTCAAGCAAGAAAAGCTTAAACAATGGTTCAGTGACAAAACAGAGTCCTAGTTCCTCCTCAAGGGATATACATAATAATCTGATGCGTATCTGTGAGTTGTTCTGTAGAAACTATGACCCCCACCCAGGTGGAGGATGGTGACTCCATGCTAGACCACAAGCATGTGGACTTCAGACTGGTTTGAACCAGAAGGTTGATGATTAAGATCCCCAAAACATTACCCTGTTACCTCACCATCAACCAATCAGAAAAAAGTCCACAAGCTGCACCCCTCACCCCAAAGGTTGTCTTTTAAAAGTCTTCCCTAAAAGCCACCAGGCAGTTCCAGTCTTCTGAGCATGAACTGTTAGTTCTCCTTGTGTAGCACCCTGAAATAAACACTATCTTTCCTTCACTGCAATACGGTGTCAGGAGATTGACTTTGCTGCAGATGGGAGAGTGGACCAGAGTTTGGTTTGGTAACAGCTGTTTCTGAGTTGTATCCTTTATAATTAACCAGTAATAAAAAGTAAACTGTTTTCCTGAGTTCTGTGAGCCATTCTAGCAAATTATTGAACTCAGGGAAGGGGGGTGGGTGTGGGTGTGGAAACCCTGATTAGCAGCCAAGTTGGACAAAGTGTGGGTAACCTGGGGACCCAATAGTTGTGACTGGCATCTAAAGTGAGGATATTCTTGTGGTCTGAGGATTTAGTATCAGAATTGATTTGAATTGTAGCACGTAATCGGTGTCCAGAGAATCCAAGAATTGTTTGTTGGTGTTGGAAAATACCATAGAACACTATAAACATATTTTGAAGACATATATCACGGAAAGGGGTTGAAGTATCATTATAAGCATTGTAGTCTAGGCCAACCTGGTCTAGGCCATCATCACCTCACCTCTCAACACAGCTTTCTCAACCGTCTCTTCTCCTCAGAGCAGCAAACGTGATCATTTAAAATAATAAATCATCTACTCAAAATCCTCTTCCCATGATACTAAGAATACAATGAATGCCTTACCATGACATAAAAGATCGGATAGTCCTTACCTCTTTAAATGCTTTTCTTTAACACCTTTCCTCTTTCCTTCTCTTGGACTCTTGTTTTTCCCCGACAAATTTCTCCTCAGGCTCTTCATATTTATCGTTCCTTCAGCCAGATTGACTCCCTCATCATGTCCTTCAGGACTTTACTCAAATATCACATCAGAGAGACTCTTCCTGATCACTGCTATGAAAACAATACCCCTCCACTAATATAACTCCTCTTCTTATTTCTCTTCATAATGAAGATACAAGGTACAAGACAATCTCTACCTCACCTCCATCTAGGACACAAACTCTATGCTTGCAGGCACTTTGTTTGGTCCTCGACCATACCTCCAGCTCCTGGACAGAACCCATTAACACACCTGAGTGAGTGAATAAATTCGGCAATGATATTAGGCAACAGTAAAGATAGACTGTTTCATTGCTCCTTTTTCATACATTCAGA